AGATTAGCTTCCAACGTTCGAAGGGATATAAAGGTGGCATGTCCGTCCTCTTCGGGCGCAAGGACGACACAACGAGCCGACCCCTCTTTGAAAACTCCCACTCACAATACTTGACATGTAAATCATGCAGTAGAGATGAAAATGGCTGGATTGCGGAGGATACGATCGGGATGAACACCTCCCCGAAACTCTGAAAACGGGCGAGAACAAAATTGTGCTTCCCTAAGAATCACTCGGCTTCCACATCAATCCCCATGCACACTGACAACATTTGAGGGGAGCCATGACACGCCCAGTCAATACGAATGTTTTCAATACGAAGCTGTGTACTATTCAGTTTTGTGCGGACTAAACTATTCACCAAAGTTTGATGCTGAGACACAACAAAGGTGACCCCCTTTCATAGCTGCATCTGAAAGAGACCCCTCTTCATAGCAAAGTTTAACCTAAAAGGGGATGGTCTCGAGGCTTTGGCTGTACCCGACAGTTGGGGATGTCACAATTCACAGAATGCGCCTAATACCTCAGAACATTACCAAAATATATAAAAGGCCATCTTATGAAACAGCATCAGGCGTAAAAGCTTGCATGGTAGTCGCACGAGGGAAAAGAAATGGGGACATGTTGCGTATGATAAGCTTATAAAATCTGTGGATGAAGTTACCTTGGGAGGTGAAGTGGGTATGCTGTCGTTCAGTCTACAAGCTACGCCTGGCGATGCATTCACAATATATGTTGGTTGAAAATAAACTACAAAAGCATGACTTCCTCTACGACTATCTTCACATAGCCATGATATTCGCACGCACAGGCTGTGGAGCAAGCCTCTATAATTTTCATCTCTTGAGGGCCCTTGAGCGTGTACAGATGAAGTTCATTTTAGAGGATACCATTGAAGCTCTAACCCTAACTCATTCCCAACACGAGAACGCATCGGAGGGGCTCACCAGGTAGGGCCCCAGCTCACGTATCAGATGCAGAGCATGGGCACCGCCCTCCGTACGTGCCACACGTGGGATCCAGGAGAGACGAAATTAGCCACACAATGTGTCGCTTCTTCGGGGAACGCGCTCGTGCGCTCATCTCCCTTCCCTCCTGCTAACCCAATATACTCCGGCTTCGCTACGCTGCAGAGGCTAAAAGGCAGATAAAGCTCTCACACTCACCTCATCTAGTGGAGAGTACTTGTGAAGTCTAAAGGAAAGGCATCTTGTTTTGCCCACTTCAAAATAGAAAAATGGGGAAAACAAAACACGTTGAGACTGCAAGCAAGCAAAAAGGTATGCAAGATGGAATCGCTAATGCATGTTGGCCTCAGCCCAACCAGGTTATTGGAAGCACACTTGATTATTAACAGGAGGAGTGTTCATTTAAAAAATGTATTGATGAGAATAGATGCAAAATTTAGGAATATGGTGTACACAAGATGCTATTGGTTTCCTTTCTTATCTCATTTTATCGCCTATTATCCACAATGCTGTACATGAGAATTTAAGGTGTTCGGAACCCCATTTCCAATATTGGATTTCTAGAGATAATGGTTGACATGAAATATATGTTATCAGAAAAATGGCATTCATTCAAATAACAGAAACATAAATTATAGGTCGAAAAAAAAACGCAGATGGAGTATAGTGCTGCGTTGTAGGGACTCAAGAATTGACACCTACCGATGTGAAGCATCACATCAGCATGTAATCTAACATAAACAACTAGCAACCTGGGAAGGGTCGATTTCCACAGATGTTTTACACGCCGCAACTTCCTGTGAATTAACATGGGTAATTTGAAAGGGTTAGTTAAATAAACCCCAATAAAAGTAACAATTACCTTGGAGTTAATATTACTAAATCCAGAACATCAATTTGTTTGACAATTACAGTGCAATATTTATCAATAACTACTACTGTTTCTAAGTTCTGTTTTATGGTATCATCGATATCAAATGTCCTATATAAAAAATATTTTGTCGTTGCAAAACAAAGCCAGACGAGGCCTCCTAGAGAAACTCACCCCACGTAGGGGGCGATGAAGCGAGTGTGACGGAAAAACTCAAAACCAACTGCCATGTCATCAGGTGAGTGAAATTCCGTATTCATGCACAAAAAGAAGAATGTCCCAAAGTCCTCCCCCGCCGTGCTCATTGCTTTCGTAAGCGCTAGCCTAAAAACCAGTTTGTATCGCACAGACCGCCCTGACAGGCTACCCTCAGGGGCTAACCTCAGAGCACTAGATAGTGCATCAAATGGGGAGGTCCTGGCGTATGTATAGTCAGAAAAGAAGCTGACTCAAAGATATTTCATCTTTTCAATAGTTCTTTCAAATGGGAAACCACATCTAGCGTGGTAGGAATCCTGAATGATGGTTTTGTTCGTTGACAGAAATAACGGCGCGGATGCCAAATACTTCCAGATTTCACGTTTTGCCTTTCGGTTGTGAGCAATCGGAACCAACCACGGTGCACCTACAGCAGCATACTCCATTTTGGTCACCTTTGTGTGGCCCAACTCAAGATTTGACGTGTGGAAAATCACTGGGAATGCACGACGCACCTTGTTGTTGACTGTGTCTATGGGTCTCTGTTTTAACGCCAAGAGTGGTGGCGTGAGGGTGATGTGGTCCGCCCTGGAAGCCCTCTTCCCTTTATCCCATCTGGGCACAGTCAGGCTAGTATAAATTTCATCACCGTGCGCAGCGTACGCTCGCTGGTAAAGGTATGAAACAAAACGGCTCACGTTCAGAACGTCAGTTAACTCCTGCGAGTGTGGGTGCTCGGGTCCGCCCACTGGCAGGTACTTAGTCCAGCGCTCGTCGTTCATCTCAGATAGGTGTATGTGTGATAGCGCACCAACAGCCGAAAAATCATTAGCGAAGTCTAGCCCGAAGAACCCTGCACGCACACCGTAAGGAGACCGTGCCGCTTGCCGCTCTTTCTTGGACATCGAGAAAACGTCCGAGTCGAATTCCCAGTTCATGAGGTCCAGGTAGGCGCGGCATACATGGACTGATCACACCTCCACCCATTTTCGGTGTTAATTCTTGGTATTTGCGTGTTTGATAAATTTCTAGCCTTTTGCAGGAATTCTTTGTACGCCCACACACGGGCAACCACCGCACCTGAATTTAGGTAACGTTGCGGTGATAAATCAAAAGGTAGGCTGAGCCTACGCTCTGGGTGTGCGGCAGCATATTCTCTCATTTTTGTATAGGCAGCTTCATTACCACATTTGCATTCAAATTCCGATTTGAATATCCTTGGTGCCCAACAGGCAGCCTCCGCATTGGCTAAGAGTGGTGCCATTGCACGGCCCTGCCGCACAGCCACCGCGTCCAGCTTCTTTGGTGTCGTGGCGGACTGTGCGATGAAGCGATCCAGGAACGGATTGATATCCATACCTGTAAAGAGTGTATCTGAATCTAACACAATCATCACGTCTTCTGGCTGCAGTTTGGCATTCTCGATGGCCTTTTCCATGAAGTCGAAGTTGTATTCATACCCAAAATAGGGCATCTGATAGCCGGCCACGACCACGGGCAGTCCGCTTAGGTGGGCTGATCCCACAGAATAACAAAAAGCGTCATCAATTTTATTACTCATAGTGAAGATAACCACGCGAGTCCCTGAGGGACGAAAGAATACATCCTGTATCCCACGACGTGGAAGTACTAAGGGTGTAAAGGGGTTCCAGTCCGAACTGCCTGAGAAAAGTAGGCAAAGGAGGATACAAATTGTGCCAATGATGCAAATCAAAAGCGATCGCTGGTAATGCCTCTTGAAAACTTTGCCCCGAAATCTTTTATATGGATGAATTTTCAGTGAATTCATTGCTTTTGTGTCTTTTTAAAATTATTCTAAGAAGTTAGCTTTAATTTATCTGAACGAAACAGAATCCATGCTAATTATATTCGCGTCCTTGGAGTTTTAAGGACGTCAAAAGGAGAATAAATGGAGTATGGGAGGTGATTACATCACAAGTTTGCAAAGAAAATATGTTGAACCCGCTTGCAGTGTTCGTTTCATGGCGAATGGTTTCCCTGCATATAGCCAAAAGTTTGTATAGTGCAGGTTGAAACTGAAAAACATACACACGTCTGCATGGACCTGATCAGCTGAGGGAATAATTATCAAGAGCAATTAGAGATAGTATAATAATTTTATTCATGGATCTATCCATATCTTAATACTAGAGTTCATGTATGTTTTTATAGATTTACATAATTTTCTTATCTGTTACGGTCATAAACTGGCAAATTCTAAAAAAGCCGCTAGCGTCACAAGTGACTCGACCCTTGGTGAGCACATCTGCTGGACAAATACGCAAGGAGTAGCGCGTGGGTGAACGCGTAAGGATCATTGGAAAATAAAAATTCCTCATTTGTATAGTCACGATGCTTTATATCTACCAATATGAACAGACGCTAAAAGCATGTAAATAAGAGCTTGAAATTGAATCAATACATATAACTTAGGCAACACGGCCCTGAAGCATTAAAAGTAATAGCGACACCTTTGGTGGAATATTGCCACTATTAAATAGAGATGGATTTTGTAGAAAATGAGAAGTACCTCCTCTTTGTGGGTTTATAAAATGAACAGCTTCATTTATATGGTCATTTTGATATTTTAATAGAACGAAGTCGTAGCAGCCTAATTGGCTCAGCCGGTGTAAACAAGGATTTAACCTCTTGAAGAGTATCCTCCGTTTTGTTGTCTCTTTTTACGGACCCCCTCCTCAACTAGATTGATGGTAAAAATACCAAGATCAAGCCCCTCGGACCGCGGGTGACATAAACCAGCACTTTTTTTTTAACTCTAGTACTAGCAACCTCTTCCAAAACCTCGATTGAAACCAAGGAAGAATCAACTAGAGAGGAAGGTGACGATGTGGAGTGGGTGGAATATAAAATATTGAAGGTTAGATGGTGCACACGTCAATTTGGTATAGACGGACACGATAAACCCTTTGATTTCGTCACCTTAAATCCATAATACATCCTCTAAATAGGTCAAACTATCTCTATTATACGAGTAGGCATGAAGAAACTAAGATAGCTAAATGTTCACCACATCCTCTTTGATGAAAAAAGAGATTCGGTGTTTACCCAGAAGCAGGATTCCTGCCCCGTGTGATAATGACGAACCACTTTTTTCTTTCAGTAGCCTCTCTGTCACCACGCCCCTTCCTCTTCTGGATTTGCGTGCCTCCTTTTGGTGTCTCCGTGCCCTCAGGAACTGCATTGAATTGTCCTTCGTTTCCGAGTACTTTTTATCTATGAGTTGCTGGTAGGGGAGGCGTCGGAGCCCTTGGTACCTCTCGTAGGTATAAGAAAGGTAATATCAAGAAAGTTACGTCATGCATTGCTACAGCGATTCTCGTAACCCACCATCAGAAGAGCAAGCACCTTGTGATATGTGCCAAAAAAGAAGAACTGCTAAAGTGGCATCACCCACACCAAAAACTGCGTTCGTATAATAGCATGCTGACCCAGTCGGTTTGGTAGTGAAATCCTTGCGATTGTAGTTGCTGCTGCGATCAACCTGCCCAAGTCCCTTTTATATGTATGTGCGCGCGTTAAGCTCTTGAGGATTCGAAAAATTGGTATAATGATACCCCTATTTACTTCTAACACCAAGACCCTCCCTCTGGGCAACCATTGAGTGACCTTGAGGTTCCAAATCCTCACATACCCACCGTACTAAGAGCTTGCCTCATGCGGTAACTTTTCGGACATTCCATGCGAACGTCATCGACGTTAACCTTATCACGCATCACCTCCTAATTGAATCTGGACTTTTAAGGAGATCACGTTTGAAACAAAACATAGCATACGCTCCACCAAATGAGCCTTATGCGATCCCTAAAAGAAATCTGGAATATGTTCTTGTGTATTCATTTATGAGGGAAATAAACGGACCAGACTCGAAAGAGATGAGTGTGAACCGAAGTGTGTGAGCACGGAGGACATGGCAGTCAACGACCTGTTCAAACAAATATAAATATGCCCACACCGTGGGTCACATGAATGCTGAAATTATGTTACTCATTGAAGCAACTCTCTAGGATCGGACTCTTTAGTTTGGTAAAGCATACAATGAAAAAGTGCGTTGAGAAAAAAAGAATCATTCGAGTATCAAAAAGAAGTAGGCATGAATAACATTTTTCCGTGATGAAAATTTACACAAATTAGTGTAAATAGAATAAAAACTTATCATCGATTGGTTTAAAGGTATAATTAAATTGGACAATCATATTCAAAAAAATAAAAAAAATGACTTTAAAAACAACTCTACGTGCAACTAGTACAAGTCTTACTCATCAATTATAAAATTCATCCGTTTTGGGTATTAATTAAAATAAAATACACAACCGCTATGTTACACAGAAAATAATTTAGAAATATCCACAAAGGGGAGCTACAGTGTAATATGGAGTAGTAAATAAATGGTAGTGGATACAGTGTTTACTCATTAAAGAATCTGTTTTGAACGACACGTCTAATTTCAGGGTTAGAAATAATAAAAAAAATGACGCCTTTTCTTCTTAGCTATCGGTTACGGATTTTATCCCCCAAAACAAACACGGCGTAAAAAACGTCAAGCACGGAACCAAGCGTAATCCCTAAACACTGGTACAGAGCCCCAATGTTCATCGCAAGCTCGGCCTTTTCCTTATATAATTGTTTGATCCGGAATATCTCTTCGTCGCTCGGATTTTCCATACTAATAATCATATCAGTTTCTTCGTTTTTAATTTGATCCAAAACATTGTGAAATACATTGACATACGATGCACCACCCATCAGGCCGACAAATATCATCCACACAAAGAGCGCAAACATCAATTTTGATTGTGTTGCCTCATCGTCAGAGCTGATAAAAAGTAAAAAGGCCTGCGCAAACCAGCCTCCGGTATTGAGAAGCTGAATTAACGTAATGATCCATACCTTTTTGATACGCACGCAGTATAGACTGCTCCGAGAAATAAGTACACCGATTTGGTAGCATAAGGCTAAAATAACATATCCATTACTTATCCAGAAATTCGTCGATTCCGCGTATCGCTTACGCGCAAAGGAATAAGGAGCCATATATTGAGAAGCATATTCCGCAACATAGACAATGGCAAGATTCATGTAGTTAGCGAACATGTGTCGGTGAATCTCACAAATAACATCTCCTTTACGCCTCCACCAACGGCGCAAGCGCTCAAACGCACCGATGTTTCGGTCTTCTTCCTCCGCACTAATATCGCTGGTTAGTCTCGGAATGTCTCCCCATGAGGTAGCCCACCAGTTCGACCCACCTGTAATCATGCGATAATATTCCTCGGTCTTTGTCAAAGGCGGCTCATGGAAAGAGTTTATTTCATAATGCAAGTCTTCCCCCTTAACCGAAAGGGCACTGAAACCTAATGCGGCAGGAAGCCCTTTCACGATTGGAATTCGGATCATGAAGTAGTAGCACACCCAGTATACAAGGATAAATGGGGTAGACAACAAAAAGATGTACGGAAATATCAAACCTGCCGAGCGTAGGCCCAGATATATGAGGGACGAAAGGACGCCTGATCCGCCTGTTCCAGATGACCAGGAGCCAACCGTAAGAGCAGGAAAACACTCCATGAATGCCAGAGAAACACTCTCACCGTATGCAGATGCATTGCCACAGAAGACAACACCGATCAGAGCAATGACATAGGCTGCAATGCCGCTTGAGTTACCAATGGGCCAAGATACGCAGACCAAGGCTATACCGATGAGCGTCTGGAGACCGGTAATGATAAAACGAATGTTGTACGAGAGTCGGGGAGTGCAGAAAGTATTAATGAAACGAACGACAAAATTAAGAGCAGCGTTAGCACAAGGAAGCAATCCAAGCAGCTCCTTCACGTTGAACCTCTCCGAAATGTCATCAGAAGCCGACCCAACTAAGCAATAGTGAAAGTTATTGATTAGTCCAAGCCACCAGAATGAAACATAATTCCGGACGATGTTTTTCTCAAAAAAGAGTTTCAAAGCTTCAGATTGGGCATCGTAATCCGATATAATATCCTCTGATGGTTTTTCATCTCGCTTTTCGGGTATCATGATGGCACTTGATGGGAGCTTCGAGCTTTTCTGTGCGAGTATTTTTTTTTTGTAAAAGCTGTATTAACGAAAAGTAAATTAGCCCTGACAGAGAATTAGGGATGAGGAAAGAAAACTTTCATAGTAGCACATAAATATATGACTGCTGGAAGAAACTAGGCTTTATGTTCACGTGTTCTTTAATGATATTCTCTTTTCCTCTGCTTATGAACGCCCCACAGTAGTATAGCCACTGCGCAGTCCTGAGGAACCGTTGCGAAAATCTTAAAGTAAAGACCCTTAGAGCACACTTAATCTACATCCATTGGACCATACACGACGTTATGGTAAACTAGACCACAGCATGTGAACTCTCTATCCTTAAATTTGGTAAATGCGTTGTAAATGCATCAAATGTTCAGTTTTTTGATGGGAGGAGGGGTGTCCCTCGCTCGCCCCTTATCCCATTTTTACAACCGTAGGACTATTGCATGGCAAAGGTCACTTAAAAATATATCCCCC